CTATCTTTGGCCAAAGAGAGAATGAAAATGAAAAAAAAAAAAAAAAGGAAAAAAAAAGGCAGTGATGTGCCAGAACTTTTACTTTTTATTAAAAACTTAAGTGCAGATGACGAGGAACCCACCTGGTTTTGATTTTTTTAATAAAAAGTCAAATAATCCCCCCAAACAATTCCTTTGCAATGGTTTCAATATCGGAACCGTAAAGATGAACTTTAAAGGCGCTTGTAAAAAAAAGAATATTACAATAATTTTAGTGCAAAACTCCAATATCATATTTTCTTTTATTTGAAGGAAAGAAGGGGGATGTAGAGAGGATTTCTTTCTTTTCTTTCTCAGGATGCAGCAGTTGCAGATAATCTGTTTACTTATGAAAAGAGAAAAGAGAGAAGGAGGAGGAGGAGAGGGGAAGCTGGGGATGCAGAGTGGGAGCAGGGACACGCTGCCCACCTCGCACCAGCAGCACCCACTCCCTCTCTGAAATCAGGGAGCATACCCTTGTCTGCTCTGTGACCATGCGGTGTGCAACAAGGGCTGTGCTCCCTCATCATGTGCCTTCAGTGAAGGCAAGAGCATCTCCCTTGTCTGCCCACCTCTGTGCTCTCACAAACCTGGAATGAACTGGTATTTCACAGAAACCCAGCCTGGTTTGGGTTGGAAGGGACCTTAAAGCTCCTCCAGCCCCAACCCCTGCCACGGGCAGGGACCCCTTCCACTGGAGCAGCTTGCTCCAAGCCCCTGTGTCCAACCTGGCCTTGAGCACTGCCAGGGATGGGGCAGCCACAGCTTCTCTGGGCACCCTGTGCCAGCGCCTCAGCACCCTCACAGGGAAGAGCTTCTGCCTAAGAGCTCAGCTCAGTCTCCCCTCGGGCAGGTTCAAGCCATTCCCCTTGCCCTGTCACTACAGTCCCTAATGAAGAGTCCCTCCCCAGCATCCTTGTAGCCCCCCTTCAGACACTGGAAGCTGCTCTGAGGTCTCCACACAGCTTCTCTTCTCCAGGCTGAACAGCCCCAATGTTCTCAGCCTGGCTCCATACAGGAGGTGCTGCAGCCCCTGAGCATCCTCGTGGCCTCCTCTGGCCTCGCTTCAACAGAGGAGGAATTTAAAGATGCTCTGGTTCAGTAAATGGACAAAAAGGGCTCAAAACTGCTGGGGGAGGTGGGCAGTGACAGGGGTCCTGGGGGTCCTGGGGGCTCAACTCCCTCTCTTGTGCAGGCTTAGGAGCTCAACTGTTTGAAATTCCTCCCTAAACGCAAATCAACCCCAAACACAACCCAGCTCCCCCTAAAAGCACAGTGCTATGTCTGCTAAAAGGAGAGAAAAAGGAAAATACATTCTTAACCCTGACAGAAAAGAGCCTTTTCCTAATCTGAGTTTTCCCTCCCAGAGAAAAGTGCTGGAAATACCATAACATCTCTTGGGGTGCAATGTACACAGCGGATGCTCAGACCCTGCATCCCACTGGGGATGCTGATGAAGAGTCAGAGATAGGGACCAGGAGCAGAAGCTCCCCAGGCTGCAGCATCCCCTGTGGTCCCTGCCAGTTTGGTCTTACTCTGGCATTGGGATTTTAAACGTATGAGATAAAGTAAACTTTAATCTCCTGTAAAGCGTATTCCAAAGTGGGGCATTAAAGCTGGTGAGGATTAGGAGATGGTCACGGAGTCCATCTCAGAACCGCTGGAAATCCGAGGATTTAAAATATATTAGCAAACAGAAGTGAAGCTTTGGAGAAGCCGTGCGGGAGGGACCGGAGCCGGGAGCAGCAGCATCCTCATCCTGGTGGTACCCAGCTGAGGGACCACGGGAGGTGTAGGAGATGCTGAGGGGCTTTTGACAGCTCCAGCACGGCGCATAAAGGGAGAAATGAAATATATGGGCTTAACTGGGGCAGAAATTGAGGCTAAAACTGAAAAGTGAACCTGGGTGTTGCCAGAACAGCTTGGTTCTTATCTTTCGGAGGCTCCAAGCCATGGTTTATAGACATGTTCAGTCGTGGCAGCAGGCTGATGTGCATGTCCACAGCATCCCCATAGCAAGCACTTCTGTAGGACTCATACTCAGGACACTCATAAACCAGCACCTGAGCTGGATGCTTGATCAGCGCTGGAGGATGGGAGTTGCTGGATCCTACAAGGGTGAGGCAAGAGAAGGGCCAGAAAAGGTCGGGAAGGGGCTGGCCAGGAGCCTGCTGAGGACGGATGGGCTGAGGGACAGCTCACAAGTCCTTGCAGTTTGATCAGATTCCTCCAGTGCTTGCAAAGACAAAGCAATTTGCTTCCAGTGGTTTGGGAGCTGTTCTCATGATGTCCATCTTCCCCCTGGATTTCCCACTCCTGGAGCTGTGGGATGATGGGTGAACTCCTGCCTTCAGGCGCAGGGATACTCCTGAAGGCAGGAAATTCTGGGAATAATTGAGGATGACAAGCATGGATTTTGCCCATGTGATTTATACTTTATTTTGTTTCAATCCTCCTGATCTTCAGCTCTCCCGGATGTGCTCTGCTGCCCTGCATCACTGCATGCACCACAGGGATGAAGGCTGCTGCTCCAGTGCTGATGACAACAACCCGTGCTCACCTTCTCACCCTTCCAACCTGCCCAGGCACCTGCGTTGCCTCACCAGCAGCAGACACATCAACCATCGCACCCAAACCATGCAGTCAGAGATGTGCCCGCAGGCGGGGGGACCCCGGCCCCCCTTTGGCTGCCCCCAGCCCCTCTCTGCTCACCACTTGTCCAAATAGTCGTAAATCACCAGCAAATTCCTGGGGCTGCTGGGGGGAGGTTGGGCTTCAAAGGCGGCGAGGGGCAAACAGGAACCTTTCATTAACTGTGGGAAAAGCCTCCCCGTGCCTCGGACCACGGGAAAAGTCCTTGCCAGGTGTGTGGAAAGGGGGAAAAGGAGGAAAAACCACACAGAAGGACACCGTCATCATCATCATCATCTGCTTGTATGGAGCCCTCGGCTGGTTACATCCCAAATAACCGTGGAAGATGGGAAGGTGAGAAGGGAGGGACTCCAGGTTTCTCATTTATTGATGTGTTCGCATGCGTGCCATGGAGCTAAGCGGGGAGCTGTGCGTTGGCACTAGGCTCCTGTTCATTGCTTGGTCAGCCTCGACTTTCCTCCCGGCTTTGCTTTGCTTTTGAGTATCACCCATTTCAACGCTGCAGAGGAAACCCAGGTTACAGCAGGGTCTTGACTGCGAAGGGGCAGGGCAGCATCTTCATCTGGGATTGCCATTTCCTTCCAGCGTGACCCCCGCAGCAGACGTTTGACTCCTCAGGAATCAAGGTGAAGAAGAACAAACACGCGCCCAGACCAGGAAAACACAAACACGGAGCTCCCGAACGGGCGGGTGCTGGGGGCGGATCTTCCGAGCTGGAAGCTGGATTGGAAAACTCATCAGTGGGCGGTCGGCGAGAGCTAAACCTTAGCGATGGGTGGTCACCAACAGAGAGCAGGGGAAGGGGAGGAAAATGTCCGCAAACAGATGATTTTCCATGAGGAGATGGGTGTCTGTTTTGCTACATGGAGTAACTGCTGCCCCCCTGCTGAGAGGTGGAATTCATGGAATCAGAGCATCCCAGACTGGTTTGGGTTGAAGGGACCTTAAAGCTCACCCAGCTCCAACCCCTGCCACAGGCAGGGACACCTTCCACTGGAGCAGCTTGCTCCAAGCCCCTGTGTCCAACCTGCCCTTGAACACTGCCAGGGATGGGGCAGCCACAGCTTCTCTGGGCACCCTGTGCCAGCGCCTCAGCACCCTCACAGGGAAGAGCTTCTGCCTAAGAGCTCATCTCAGTCTCCCCTCGGGCAGGTTAAAGCCATTCCCCTTGGCCTGTCCCTACATCCCTTGTCCCAAGCCCCTCTCCAGCTTTCCTGCAGCCCTTTCAGGCACTGGAGCTGCTCTCAGGTCTCCCCTTCAGGAGCCTTCTCTTCTCCAGGCTGCCCCAGCCCAGCTCTCTCAGCCTGGCTCCAGAGCAGAGCTGCTCCAGCCCTCGCAGCATCCCCATGGCCTCCTCTGGCCTCGCTCCAACAGCTCCACGTCCCTCTGGTGCAGCCCAGCACACAGGTGGCAAAACCAGGAAAGTGAGGGATTACGTTATAGGATGTATGAAGGAGCCAGGCTGGTTTTGACCAGGGTGGGATGGCTGCAGGTCTGGGATGTGACCCTGTCCCCATGCACTGCAGCAGGCTCCCTGCATCCAGGAGGCTCTGCAGGTCTGGGATGTGACCCTGTCCCCATGCATTGCAGCAGGCTCCCTGCATCCAGGAGGCTTTGCCCTTGTCCTTGTAAAGGTGTGTGGTGGCACCTTCATCCCCTGCATCTCCAAGGCCACCCAAAGTGGCTGGGCAGTGATGGGGAAGGACTGGAGGCCACCACCCTGTGTCCCTGTACCCCCATGTGGCTGTAACACATCCCATAGCAGCCTTGCTCCATATATATATATATATATATATATATATATATATATATATATTTTCCCATATATTTACTCCACATACCCCCACCCCTGCAAGCACAAGCACACCCTCAGGATCTAAGAGATAAAGTCAACAGCCTGGAGGAAACTAAGAAGGAAAGTTTAAAAGAACAAAATCCAGTGTGTTCCCCAACTTTAGATGTGGTGTGCCCCCCCCCAAGTGATTTCTTTAACCCCCAAATACTCAATCGGTTTCAATGGGGATGGAGTATGTCAGCAGAAGGTTCCCAACTGCCTGGGTTTGTGTTGAGCATGGCTTGGAGCACATTAACGCCTGAGGTTACAGACTGCATCAAGGCTGTTCACACCTTATCTGGACCAAGCCTGACTTCATCAGCCCCTAATGCCCAGGCGGGGTTTAGGGAAAGGCTCACACTCATCCCCCTGCCCTGGGCACACGCCTAAGCACCAGAAGGGGTTAATCCCCGCACTCAGCACACCTGCACCTAATCCACACCTTGCAGCCTATTTAAGCCCTCCCCTGGATACTTCCTGCTTGTTGTTGGTGCTGTGCTGCTGTTTGTCCTTCCTGAGGGCTGGCTGGGCTCCTGCCTGGGCTGAGCTGCCTTGTGCTTGTGGAAAATGCTGCATGATTCCTCAAATGAGGCATGCTGAGGGCTGGAGCTCCAAAGCCAGGAGCAGAGGCTGCTGGAGGCAGTGGTGGCTTAAGCAGGAGGAGAGGTTTTGGAGAGGATGGTGCTGAAGCAGAGCCTGAGCAAAGGTAAGATGTGAAGAGGTGGGAGAAAGGAGAAGCAGGTAAAGGAGGAATCCTGAGCACAGCGTTTTGGTGAAGCACTGAGTGAGTGATGATGGTTGAGAGGAGCAAAGTCATCGTGATGCCTCCATGGGAGCTCGTCTTGCCTCCAAAAGCAGTGCTGAAGAGCCTGATAGAAGGGGCGGCTGCAGCTGCCCTGTGCAGTGGGTGCTGGTGTTGCTTTGTGCTGGGAGGAGCTGGTTCCTGTGCTGGGGAATAGGCAGGGGTTCAGTGAACCCCCAGTGCTTTATGTGCTAGTCCAGGTTGGACTGAAGGTGCTGGACTCTCCCGCTCTGTGTTTCCCACAGCAAACAGGCAGCTTTTCAACACAGGGAGGCTTCAGGCTCTTCTTACAGAGCTGAAGTTGTCTCTGCTAACACGGTCCCCTCTGCTCCAGCACTGGGTGACTGCTGGTGGGGGAAACAGGGCCTCATGGCAGGGATGTGGGGAGTGCACAGAGCATCAGTGCTGGGATGCTGCTGCTGAGTCTTTATCTGTCACCTGTGCTGGAGATGCTACTGCACTGCACAGCTCAGGCTTGCTCTCATTACCAAGCAGTGATGCCGTGGACCTGAGGGATGGGGGTTTTCTTTCTATAAATAAGGAGCAGGGTCTTGCACTGAGGTATTTAGAAGCTGCCCTGGGGTCTATAGGGGACCCGGCTCTCAAATGCGCTGCTGTGCAGTGTGATGGGGTTTGTTTCAGCAGGCAATATTCCCTTGAAGCCTGGAGCCTTGTGCAATTACACACATGTGTAGAGGTGCCGGTTCCCACAGCTCAGCTCTACACTGCATTGTGAATCCCAGCTCCAGGATTTTGGGGGAAAGAAAGCCTGTCACAAAGCACAGCCTCTCTGCTCCCTGCCTGGTGGATGCTGTGGCCTGACTGCTGCCTGCAGGAGGTGGGCACATGGGTAGCACTGTGCTTGGGGCAGCAGGACCAAGGAAATTCCTTTTCATGGGCATCTGTGATCTGGGGGGATGAGGGGGAGAAATTGTTTTTCCTCTCCCTCCAGCAAACGCCTGTGGTAGCTCAGCAAGCAGCAGGGTGTGCTGGGGTGAAGGGGAATGGTGTGGATGCTGTTGGCTGTCTGGGATGTGTGCGAGCATCTGGGATGGAGCTTCATAGAATCCCAGCCTGGTTTGTGTTGGAAGGGACCTTAAAGCTCCTCCAGCTCCAACACCTTCCACTAGAGCAGCTTGCTCCAAGCCCCTGTGTCCAACCTGGCCTTGAACACTGCCAGGGATGGGGCAGCCACAGCTTCTCTGGGCACCCTGTGCCAGCGCCTCAGCACCCTCACAGGGAAGAGCTTCTGCCTTATATCCAATCTAAACTTCCCCTGTTTAAGTTTGAACCCGTTACCCCTTGTCCTGTCACTACAGTCCCTGATGAAGAGTCCCTCCCCAGCATCCTTGTAGCCCCCTTCACACACTGGAAGCTGCTCTGAGGTCTCCACACAGCTTCTCTTCTCCAGGCTGAACAGCCCCAGTGTTCTCATCCTGGCTCCATACAGGAGCTGCTCCAGCCCTGTTCATCCCTTCTTTTAGCAGGAGCACTAATGCAGTCTTTCTTTGGACAATTGCTGGGTTTCATTTTATTCCCCCCTAATTTGTTGAGCTCGAATTCTCCTTCTGTCTGGCCAGAGCTGAGCCACAGACTGAAAGGCCATGGGGAGAGCTGCTGGGTTTGGTGGGGAGATGTACACTGTGGAGATCACACAAACCTCATTCCTCCGGGCAGCCAGGCTGGAAACCCTCAGTACTTACTTTCATAGCAAATAAACCTCTCCCATCCATCAGCTGCCTGTGCTGCCAGGCAGGATGGTCGCTCTTCAGCACAATAACTATAATCTTCCCTTTTCTGCCCTTCCAAATCAGCTCTTCCAACCTCAGGCAGGCTGTGAAGCGCAGCTACCAAAGAAGCCCAGCTCCTGCCGATGCTGTTTATTGCATTGCTGCTGAGTGCTGCTGTGTCGGAGAGCTCCGAGTCGGGGGGAATTGGGCAAGAAATGGTTAGTGTGGCCTCTGGAATATCCCCATCCCTGACACATCCCCTCTGCTTTTCCCCCTGGGGGGGGCCGGGCTGTTGTGGCAGCTCCCTGTCCTCAGGGTTCGCACCCAGGTTGTGGTTAAGGTGCAGATACAGCCCCAGCACATTGTTCCCATGGGGTGGATTGATTGATTTATGATGTGCCTGTGCTGCTGACAGCTCTGGTGACCATCACAGACGCTCCTCCCTGCCATGTGCACACCAGGAGCTGCTCAGTTGCCTTTCCAGGAGGAAAAGGCTGTCGAGGTCAGGAGAAATGGGTTGTCAGGACCCAGTGAAGCCCTGTTGCTCATCCTCCGTGTGAGAATCAATTTCACTTGCCCCTGAGCGTGGATGTGCCTGCACAGGCTGCTGGTTTCTGTGGAATGCTTTATAGAATTGTAGGGTAAATCATTGGAATTAGAAGGGGCCTTAAAGCTCCTCCAGCTCCAACCCCTGCCATGGGCAGGGACCCCTTCCACTGGAGCAGCTTGCTCCAAGCCCCTGTGTCCAACCTGGCCTTGAACACTGCCAGGGATGGGGCAGCCACAGCTTCTCTGGGCACCCTGTGCCAGCGCCTCAGCACCCTACTTGTAATAAAAGTTTGGAAGGTGATGGAAGGTGTCTCAAAAAGCCCTAACAGTGTTTGTATTGGTTTGAATGTACCTGGGGACAGCAGCTCCTGGTCCTCCTCGTGTTTCTGTTTGCTCTCCAGTAAAGAGATGCTGGTTTGTTTTAGGTTTTATGTCAGTTCTGCATTGCTTTAAGGCCCTGCATGAAGGGGAGGAAGTGGTTTTGGACTCCCCAGGTTCAGAGCAGAGCTGAGCTCTGCCATCTCCTGGCTGATAAACTTGGCCTACAGCTTTGCTTCAAGGTCTGGTGCCCATCAGCAGCTTCTTACCCTATTAGTGCAGGGTAAGCCCTGCTCTGTGCCTGCCCCAGGGGTTAATCTGCTTTGGTTTATTGCTGCCTCCTGTCCCCTGTGTCACTGCCTGTGTCCCACAGCCCAGGCAAGAGCTGTGCCTGCAGATGTCAGTGGGAACAAAGGTGTTGGTAATATCCTGCTGGATTCCCCATGTAAAGTCCTCTGGGGCTCTACTCCAGGGGTCACGTCTCCCAGATTTAGGTGCTTGAACTCCAGTGCACCCATGGAGCGTATTGGATCCCACCTCAGATCAGGAAGGTTAAATGAGGCCCCCCCACCACGGTCCTCTGATTCTCTGTGCCGGTAACATTCTAGGTTGCTTTCTGGTCCCTGATAACTTAATTCACTGTATTTATACTTGGTTTATGACTTGCAGCAGTTCATGCTATTGGCAAAAAGAGTAAAAAGAGAGTTTTCAGTGACTGTGTTCTAAAAATGAAGCCATGCTGTTGCAAAATAATACATAGGCACCCAAAATCCAAGTTCCCTAAATTTGCTCATGGAGAAGCTGAAGCTTTCTCTGGCCTCCTGCTTCTTCTGCCTGTTCTCCTTTGCCCATTTCATTCACAGTTACTCATTAGCCCAGGGGCAGCTGGTTGATGACAATGTGAAATCAGACCTTCCCAGTGTCAGAGGAGGAATGTCTCCAGCTCTGCAGGTGGGATTGGGGCTCACTGTGGTCCTGCCTGGTAGGAAACCTCCTTCCTGGCAGCTTCCACCACCCTGCTTGGCTGCCTGTGTCAAAGTAGCTTCTGCTTATACCACTGAGCTTGGAGGGCTGGTGCTGAAGAGACTGGAGAGGTTCTCCTATTTAAGTGGGGAAGAGAGCTGTCCAAGGGAGTGCAGGTCTGGCAAGGCAAGTGAGAAGTGATGCTCTGGGTAAAGCTGCCTTTATATTTCAGTTTCCCAACTTCAGTCCTACGTTAGGGCTAATGGACAAAACCATCTCAGTCGTCTTTTTGCTCCCATTGGGTGTGTTTGTAGGCTTTTATTTTATTAGATACCCCATTGCAGCACTAAAACTGGATTTTCCCCCTTTGTGTTAAGGGTGAGACCATGGTCTGTTGACATCAGTGGTTAATTTGCTGTTGATCTCCGTAAGACTGGAATTTCACTCAAAACAGCATTCTATCTGCTCTTGGTTTGCAAGCAGGATCTCATATATGTGTGTGTGTGTGTATGTATGTACGTACTTAAAGCTGGCATTGGTGTATTGAAGCATAACCTTTATTTTGGGGCACAAATAAGACACAGAGCTCTATGATGCACTTGCTCCTGGTCTCTTCTTCTGCTCCGAGTCCTCTCCCCATCACTGAGCCAAACTGGGGGTATGATGAGAGCAGCTCAGCTTCCGCTGGAGCAGAATAAGTAGGGCTGTACTTACACAGCCTGAGGGCTGGAGCGCTTTGAGATGTTCAGAGTTGAGGGTGACTTCTACTGAAGAGTGAAAAAAGATCTGGTCTGATTTCTGCTCTATCATCCAGCTAGGTTTCAGCTCTGCTCGTAGTTACCTTTAGAACCTCATTTATCTGAGTATTAAAAAATGCACATCCCCGTTGTCCAGGATGGAGCAGGTTTGCAGAGCTGGTCCCTGCTTTGGAGATACCTCTCTTTGAACACTCGGAGGAGCAGGCTGGGACTGCAGACATGCAGTGTGTGTGCCTGCAGGAAATCTGTGCCAGGGCTGGGTTATGAAACAAGAGCTGCATCCTACCCTAGTGTTTTAACCACAGCCTTGTGCTCTCTAATAGACTGTTTTTTCTCCTCGTGTCCAAAATCCATTTGAGTGTCTGGAGCAGCTGAACATCTGGTATTAACTGCTCATCCCAGCACTTGGCTTTGGAACGAGAGCTGAAACCACTGGAGTAGTCATAGCCCAAACAGATGAGTTTATCCCTCTAACTGACCATTTTGTTCCAGATTCTTCTGTGTTTCTCACTGTTTTGCTATCTCTCCCTTTCCAGGAAGAGCTAAGCAATGCCTGTGAATGACTGGAGCTTTGTGCTGGGCAATGGGTTGGAGAGGATCTCTGCTGGACGTGTAGTCATTACGGAGGTCAGGTAAGGTTTCCTCTCTCTTGGTTTTGCTGCTGTTGTCTTTGTGTGGCATTAAAGAAGTAGCTCTGGCCCAGAGCAACATTTTGTTCCACTCGGCATCTTGTCTGATGCTGGTTGCTAATAAGAGATCAGGGATTATGCATGGAAAACATCAGGTCCAGGGGTATGGGAAGGAGCTGCTGCTCCCTGGACTTCAGGTTGACCATCTCAGCTGGCTGTGGACCAGAAGCACTGTGAGCTACCATGGTGTGTGTCTGAAGTAACACCTCCAGCATTGAGGGCTCGGATGCTCATCCCTGCAGGCATTCCAGGCCAGGCTAGATGTGGTTCTGGGCAACGGGATCTAGTTGAAGATGCCCCTGCTCATTGCAGGGGGGTTGGACTGGATGAGCTTTGAAGGTCCCTTCCAGCCCAAACCATTCCATGACTCTATGGCCCTGGGCAGAGCGTGAGATATACAACAGCTTACAGGGAAAATGGAAAACCTGGGATTTCATCATAGAACCAGCAGTGTTGCTTCCATCCAGTGGGAATTTTTGCATTTTGATGTCTTTCACCCCAGATTTGAGTGGAAAGTCAAGACATGCTGCTTGGTGGCACAAGAACTTCAGAATTGCATATGCTATAAGAAAGTTGCCATTTTCTGAACAATTTTTGGGTGCTCAAGCTTAGACATTTTGGACTCCAGTGATGTTTAAGTGAAATATTTCATTGAAAAATATCTTCTCATAAAATAAAGGAAATCGTTGCTGAAGTTGGGTTTTTCCCTGTGGAGATGTTGGTTTTGATGGAACTGTTTATGCTGATGAAAAAGCTTTTAGCAGAAAGACTGTTTCTACCCACAGGACTGTAAGGAAATACCACTCTGCCCTTCCAGGGATGCTCTTAAAGCTTTAAATCTTGCTGTATTCTGTAGTCAAACATCATCTTACAAAGGCAGACAGAATAAGCACGGTGGGAGCATTGTGTTGAGTTGTAGTTTAACAAAATATACCAAGGCCTGGACTGTGGCTGGTATCTGTTGTACAAGATGTGATTCCATGTTGTAGTGAATGCTGTTGTGAGGCTGCATGAAGGGGATGGGGATCAAATGAGAACTGAAATCTTGCCTTGATTTGTTTTTTACGTACCTTTGAAATAGGCGTTATCCCATCTTCAGTCAGGGGCTTGGGTTGAGGTATCACCATTCATGAGCTTCAAAGTAAGAAGGTGGGCAAACATCTAAAGTCCACTTTGGGTTTCCTGTAGACTTCTATGGGGATGGGATCTTGCCCTCTGGTATGAGGCCATGTGAGCATGTCTTCCTGGGCATAGCTTTTGGCATTGGAGTTTCATTGCTGTTTTACCTTCACCCTCATTAAATGTGAGACTTGGCTCCATCCCATCTGGAGCTCCCCAAGACCGCTTTCTTGGTGTCTTCTGCTTGGTATTTCCTCCTGGCTAAGTTTTGGCAACAAACAGCAGATTGTGGGTGAAATGAAGCTGTGTGAGGGTTTCGACATGGTCAGTTGGCTTTCTTGGGGGGCAGTAGATGCAGCATTGAGTTGCATGCAACTCAACTAGATGCCTGCTGAAGGGAGCACATTTACCAGTGCTATGGAGTGGTATTCTCCTATCCCATTTAATGGTCAGGCACCAGTACGTTGATGTGGTTCTTGTGGCCTTTTTTTTATCACATCCCAGCCCTCCCCAAAGCAAGCAAGCAATCTTGAAGCTAGCAGCAGGTATAGGATTGTTGCTCTACCTGCAATTCTAATCTCAAAACAAGGACAAACTTCGTACTGACAAACTGGAGGACCTCAAATACACCAATAAAACTAAGCCCTCCCTACATTACAATTATGATTCTCCTCCCCACATTACTATTACAGTCCCAGTGCAGATGCTTAAGCCTCAGGGAGGGAGGGGATGAGGTTGTTTTATTTAGAACTGAATGAAAGCCATAGATCTGGGCAGAAAGCGCGGCTGAGAGAATGAAGAGTGATTTTGGGAAGCAAGATTCACCAGTGCCTCTCCTGGAAACCAGTTTTTATTTAACTCGAAAAACATGCCAATAACAGAGAGCATAACTCATCTCGTGAAAGTTATGGTTGGCTGTAAAAAGAAATACAGAAAATTTTCCTACTCAAGCTGAAATGTTTTTCTTTTAATTCCTTGGTATTCTCTCTGCAGCATTATAAGCTCTAATTCATGTCTTGGCTGCAAGATCTAGCTGTGCTTAGCAGAGAGGGTCCACTTTCAAAATGTTGGGGTTTTTAAGTCCCACACCTTCCACAGCATTAAACCCCACCATATGTCAGGTGGGTTCTCTTTCGCTTACGAGACCTACGGCTTAGGGGAAAGGCAAAGAGGAAGATTGGAAGGTAAATAGTCCACTAAATGGGGTTTAACTGCTGCATGTTGGTTTAAATATCCTTAAAAAAAACCCTAATATTGTAAACTGAGATGGGCTCCAAGTTCAGGGGATTGCAGATGTCATTTATTTTCTTTCCAGGTAGTTCTCTCAGACCATGTAGTTCCGGCTGTGATTTAACGTCGGGAGGTTAAATGGAACCGTATGCAATTAGCCATTGGGCAATATAATGATGTGGATTTCAAAGCACAGGAGCCTCCCCCAGTTTCTGTTAGGAAATGACTTGCCGGGAAGGTCCCTGATGACTTTAGAGCTCCACAACCCACCAGCCTCCTTTTCCCTAGACCCCACCATACGATACCTGCAGATACCAGGCTTTCCTCGCAGGACAGGGTTTGTGGCTCCATCCCCATCACCTCCGGGTTGGACTTTGTGCTTTGTTGGATGTGTCACCATCTCAGGTGTTGTTTTTATTCAGAAACAGCATGAAACAAATGCTTTGGGAACTTCCAAGGAAGAGAATGCAAATAAATAAATCAATCCCTGTTACGTTTCCACTCTGGTGCCTTAAACCCCGCAGCATCATCTTAGATATTTTTCCTTTAGGCACCCTTAGGTATTGGGGTATCATTTCTACTTTCCTCTTTCATGAGACACTTGAATTCTTTGAGTCTTTTTCCCCTGAAAATAGGCTCTGATCCACACTTTCCAGCCCACTCCTCACAATATGTAATGTACTTACTGGGTGTACTGAGTACAACTCCAGTGCCCTGGACAAATAAACAGCGAGCACTAACTGTGGTTCGTGCTCCAGCTGGATGGTAGTTTCACTTTATTACCATGCTTGCAAAGTCAAAAGCTTGGACATTTACTGTACACGTTAACAGGGCTTATTCCGCAGACTCATAATAAATCTTTATAACCACATGTGCCCGAGTTATAAATATCTGCAAAGAGCAGGGGGAGAGAAAAAGCAAGCGGCGTACAGAAAGGTGTCTTCATGGCTTTGTGGGTTTGGTGCTGGGTTTAAGCACTTGATAGCGTGTTTGAGGTGGTGTGCTGCTTGTTTGAGTGGGTCTATTTCAGAGAGTGAGGGGGAATATTGATAAACAGCCTGAAAAGATAACAAACAGCATGTGAAAGACCTCAAAACAAACTCCTTTAATTCTAGTTACGTGAAGTAATCTCTAATTCTAGCCTGAAAGCCAGAAGGTTAAAACCTCAGTGAAACCCAAGTTTGTCAGTCCCTGTCTCCCCATGTTGTGTTTTTTCCACATCCAGCAACAAGTTGCTGCCACAAGCCCTTCTCCCAGCTTCACTGCTATGAAAGCAGCTTCTTGAGTCTCTAAATGGTGTGTTTATGGGGGGGGAGGAGGAAGCACAAAAGCTTGGGGGTGTTGAAGCACTTTAAAAAATAAAATTAGAATAAAATGAGGAAATATCAATTATTTTTTTTTATATATGTATGTTAAGGGATGTTCTTTCAGGCTCCCTTCTTCTGGGGTGGGTGACCTGCAGTGTCTCTGCATCAGGGCAATGGCAGATAGGGCTTCATGAGAACCAGGGCAAAGAGCACAAAGATGATGCTCTTCACCATGCAGGCATCTCCCATCCAGGACTGATGCCTGACCATAACCTTTTATAGAAGCCTACCCAGGCCCTTTCACGGCATAAGACTGCTTAGCACTGATTGTTTTATTCTTTTCCTGGCTTAAACCAGGGTCCGTTAGGTTTAGGGCTGTCCTTGGACGTGCTGCATCCCCGCAGCCAGCTCCTTGTTTTTCCAATGACAGCTCATAGTTAATAACAAAATGAATGCAACAAAGAGCTCTCCTATGAGGGGAAAAAACCAGAAACAGCCCAGGCGAATGCTAGACAGGCTGGAGAGCTATTCATCTGACGTCCATAACTCATAAAATATAGATGGTTTGCAAAGTAAATGATTTATCATAGAAAAATAAAGCGCCGTTTCCTATCGGCTCCTTCTCCGAAACCTTGCATTTATTTACCCTCCCAGCGTGGCAGCTTGGAAAGCTGGCATCTTGTGAAATATTGAACATGCTTTCTATTTTTGAAGAGCTGTCAACATTTTGGGGGGTGAAATAGGAATCGAATTAACTTGAAGGAAACCTGAAAGCTGTAAGTGAGGAGAAAAGCCGCGGGTTTTCTGTCTTTTAGCAGAGGTGGATTTTCTGTTGCTAAAATGGTATTTTTGCTGGGTTTTGGTGGTGGTCCCAGGTTGAGACACTGTTTAAGAGAGGAAAATGCCTTTGTGCCGGGTAGCTTCCTGTATTAGTACCTTATTGCTGAAGCACTGTTGCGCCAAATTCCCTTTGTTTTCCTCCAGATAGAGCCAGTGGGTCCACGGGGCAGCTGGGAATGTGCTGTGGGAGGATTTACGGCACCCGCTGCCTGCCAGTGTTCAGCTGAGAATAGCTTTTATTTTCAGCGATAGCTGGATGTATTTTATTCAGAGCATTGCACTAACAGAAGCACAAGGGCACGGGGTGGTTTTCATTTCATAATCAGAGCTTTTAAAGCACAGGAGTTGTGTTTCAGTGAGCTGGGTGCTTGCTTTTGTGTGAGCAAAACGCTCTCTTCCAAGGGTTGTTTGTACCCAACCAGCAATCACTTTATTGCTAAGAAGAGTAGCTCTGTGAGCAGAATACAACTTAATTTGGGCAAAGAGCTATATGGTTTATTCATATTTTTATTCCCCCAAAGGTATTCCCCTGCATGTACCCCATTTGTATTTGCACAGTTACATACCTAATTGAGAAGCCATAAGGATCTCAGCGGTGTGAAATTAATACCATGCTACTGCTGTTTGGTCTAAAATATCCTTTCTGGGCTGCTGGGATAAGTCCCTTCAATGGGAGCTGAGGAGCTCCTGATCCTTAATAAGTGTTTATTGTGTTTATAATATTTTAAAATCACTTTTTAATGTTCCTGACATCTGGAAATGACACTTTTCACCGCATAAGGCAGTCCCCCTCTTTCTGGAGCATTCTAGGGTCTCTGTCTCACCAAAGTACGAGCAAGGCAGGCTGGAATTCCTTCAAGAACTGGGAATTTCCTGACGATGACTGGTTTAAGCATTTGATGCGGTGTGGAAGCATTGTGGATTTACACAGAAGAGTATGGGGTTTAATTTTCCAGTCTTGCAGATGCAGGGAAACAATATCCGACTGCTGAAAGCCTCTAGGAATGAGAGGCTGCGTTTGTCTGAACGCGGTTTGTGTCAAGCAGTGTGATGCAGGGCTGGTAAATCAGAGTTTAGGACTTCCACCACAGCCATTATACCCTTATAAATACCCTCTTATACCCCATTAGAGCAAGTGATGCTAATCAGTGTCAGTCTGCCTTTGTCCTGTTGATGGCAGGCTGTCGATGGCAGCTGGTTTCAGGATTCTAAAGACTTCTCATGTCATATTGAATTCCTAATTACTCAGGGCAATACCATTCCAAAGCACCTACCTGTGGTCAGTGTGCCTGCTGGCTGCTGTAAGGTTTCTCATAAGCATTAGAATATTATTCTTCTGAAGCTGCAGGTCTTGGACTCATCTTTCTTGAGGTTTTTCTCCTTTCACTTGAATTTCCTGGTAATTTTGGTCAATAAAAATACGGCAAGTGGAGGGCTTGAACAATCCTCTTCTATTTGAAGCTGAACTGAATCTTTTTGGGGGATGATGGATGTGCTGCTGTGTCTGAGAAAGTAACACAACTGTACTGCTCTACCTGCTTGCCTGAATAAGGTGGAAAGAAGGGAGTTGAAAGCAGAAGTACCAGCACCATGGGTGATGGGAATACATGGAGAAGTTGCACTGGAATAGGAGAGTGGGTTCTTCCCAGAGGAAAACTTGTCCCTTTCGGGACTTGGGATCATTTTAAATTACTTTGTACTGGGACTGGCACATCTTCAGTAGGAGAAGGTCAGGCTGCCCAGCATCAGGCATTTGTTATGTGCTGGTATTTTCCCCTCAATAATGGGCACAGGCTCAGAAATTCAGCAGTGGGATTCCAGATGAAGCTATGGGATAATCCCATAGTTTTCCAGGGAGTATAACTCCCCAGATAACAGCACACCCATCAGCGTGGGATCCCTAATGCTCAGTGTGCTGTCCCTCAGGATGCAACCCAAAGGACCCATGTGGCGTTACGCTGTAATTGGTGCTGTCAGTTTAAATCCCAGCTGTAACTCTGTGTGTGTTTGTGTTTTAAGAGTGAGCAAGGCAGCAAGGACTTCCCCCCCACACTCTAATATATGTTGCTCTATGGTGACTCTGCTTGTCTGTGACTTCTCTGTTAATAAATGAAGTCTGGTCCTCAGGGCAAAGCTCCCCTGGAAGCCTTTTGGGATCCCACACATCTCAAGGCTGCCGCAGCTCCTGAGCGTGATGTGAAGCTCTTTGGGAGCCGCTGTAGCTCATTGCTGGTGCATTAAAGTAAATTGGCTCTGCTTTCAGTTTATTTTAGAACTCGAGGCTGTAAACCAAAGCAGTTTAATCTACTGACAGATGTGAATCAACACCCTGGAAGGGTGGGAAGCCGAGGGACTGGCTCTGTGCTTCCACCTCTGCTTCCAGGACCTTGTTTCTGCCCACAGATGTGATGGAGCCACCACCACAGTGTCCTACCAAGCACTGGGCTGCCAAAAGATGCCCCACTGCTGCATCCTCCCTGGAGGCAACAAGGACTGATGAACCATCCCAGTTCATTACAGCCAAACCCCCTGCTCCTGGGATGGGGCTGCTCCAGCCCTGAGTTTTCCTTTATAGTGCAAGTGGAGGGCTCTGATTTTCTTTTTAAAATTCAGTTATTTGTTTGCAAAATCCAATGAGAAATCTTCAAAATTCAATGAGGAAAAAAAGTCTTCAATAAGCTCTGAACTGATGGTTTGGTGAGAAGTTGGATGCTGTAGGAGCAGACTTAAGCCAGAGCAGTACATCAGAAAATCCAAATGCATACCCCAGCCGTTGAGGTGTGGGTGATTTGCTTACAGTGTTATTTAGATATTGCCACATATCTTCCTACTTAAACTGATCTGTGATACAAAAAAGCGGGGTCACATTTAGACTTGGAGAACTTAATGTGCTTTGTCCAAAGGGATGTTTGCTCGCTGCATTTAGATGTGCATTTTGTGCCCCTTGCAGTCTTTAACTGGTTGTGTTATTGGTGATAATAACAAAAGCTATTGCCCATCTCCCACCAGCGAACCTTCAGTCTGGAAGGTTTCAAGCACTGTGTGTTTCAGTCACCCTTATTCCATTTGTCAGACAAAGACATGAGGAGGGTTTTACAGCTGAAAGACGCTGCTTGGCATCCATTGACATGCATAGAGTGGAGGAGATGACACATTTATCCGCCTACATTTGGATGTTTCACGTGGAGATAGGCACCAAATGGCTGAACCTCAGCTCCTTGGGATAAAGGCAGGGGAATGGGAGGTTTCTGTTCCTCGGCTACTACAGCATCGCACCCCGTAGCCTGGAAGCCTGCGCTAATGAAGATCTCTCCCGGCATATGGATCCCATTTGTAAGCAGCGGTGAGAATATCCAGGTCAGGCTGTCTGTGCCGGGCTGTCTGTCCGTCCATCTGTTTTCACACGACTGGCGAATGATGGAACCCTCCAGACCCAAAGGATCGTAAATCTCCGCGACGAGCGTGGCCGCTTTTCCCATCCGTCATAAAACAATGAATTAAATTCATGCCTGTCAAAATACGCCGCTGCGAGCTCGCCTTCTCCTGCGGCCGGAGGAATACAAAGCCCCATCTCATTGCTGTAATTTATGGCCTCCTGGGGAGATTTGGGTGATTAGGGCTTGGCCCACCAACACGCAGAAAAACAGTAGGAACTCCAATAACTCCAAATGGAAATCTTGGGTCAAATTTATCAAACAAATCAGAGAGAAATCTATTTCTGTTTGGAGAAGGAGGAGATATATTACATGTTTAGTAGACGAGTACAGCTCTGGAACATTTGGCTATTCGGTATTTGTGAGTTTTGGAATTTCTAGCTTAAATAGTATCACCAGAGGACATGTGATGTATTAGACATGAGCACGTTTTTAGCCAAATAAAATATACAACTGCAAGCAAAGAGGTTTCTCAATGTTAACAACAACATATTTGTGCAAATGATGTAACCAAAAATTTTCTAGGTAGGACTTAAAAAAGCAGAGGTTTTAGTACTGGAAAAATACATGGGGGGAAAATAGATAAAATATGTTGGAAGTGGATGACAACAAAACCAGAGCTGTGGGGAGGAGGAGGAGAGGGTGATAAGGTGCCATTACTTCACTTACACAGGTTTAGACTGGTGGTTAATATTTGATATTTGGACAAATTCTTGTTTTAGGTCAATCCCTTCTTTTGCCTGACCAAGACTGTAAATCCAAACCACACACCTGCGTGTGCCATAGGATGCACCGGGGAACACCCTGTGCCCACGTGTGTTTTGCCACAAGGTGTGGAAGCATTACGTGATGTTTTATTGAGGATCTGGCATTCCAAGAGGCAGTGGGGATGCCCACCTTACAAAAAAAATATGTTAAAAGGGTTCTGGGGAGATGTTTGTTTGGTAGAGATTTGGATTTCGTTTTCTCTATTGGCATGTGCTGGTGTCTTTGATTCATAATCCATTAAAAAAACACCCCACTGGGATTTCTCTTTGAGGTCAATGGGGTTTTGCAACCCAGCATTCCCATCAAGGGATTCACTGGGATACTCCCTCAATAATGGGAGGCAGGATCTACGTGTATTGTGTTAAAATAACATCTGAGATCAGGGGGAAACATTCTCAGTCCTAATTGCACTCTGTAGGAGACGTAACCTGTGTAATCTAATGGCACCACTGGTTTATTGGTTCACACTTCATAAAAGTAAGTTGCTGTGAGGTTTATTGCAGCTTTGGTTTCTGTTTAATGGGGGGAAAAGGTAGCTCTTTATGTGGCAGCCTCTGTTACCTGCCCGCAGTGTGTCCGGGTGCTGCGCCGCAGCCGGCTCCGCTGCCTGCAAAGGTTGGCTAAATAGGAACATGTGTTTGGAGGGGGAAGGCTGCTGCTTTGAAAGGCAGGAGTTATACAAGCTACTGTGCTTGTGCCTTGGCAGAAACCACTGCAGGGGATGCAGCAGGGCCCTGGGACTGAAACAGCAGCAAAAAAGCTGGATGCATCCCGGGATGCTGCCCGGAGGCAGGTGGGAGCGCAGGGTATGACTGAACAGCGCGGAGAACAGTGTCAGTGGGGATCAGCCCTTTGGGAATACAGGCTGCTGATTTGTATCTTCTTCGTGCAAGGCAGGAAATGGATTTTTTTTTCAACACAGAAATTACATTTGAATATTTAAAGGCATATGCTTGTCCCAGATTGGGGTAAAAAGTTGGTTTCAAAATAGCCCGTGAACCCAGAAGTTTTGGACAATAGTGGTTCTGCGTTGCTTAAACTGATCAGTTTTAATGGTTTCGATTTAAACTGATTCTGATCAGCTTGAAATGTCCCCCTTCACCCTACCCTACACTATTTTAGCAAACGCAATTACCTTCTATCTAGAAAGGAAAATTCTTTGAAAACCAAACACTGTTTTTGGAAAGTAACGGAATAAGTAAGATAATTTTTATTTTCCAGAAGTTGTTTGTAGCAGAGGGGGGGAAAAGTGTTGAAGCTAACCCTTTATTCTGGAAAACATGACTTTTAACAAGTTGCAGGTACCTTTTGAAATTGCATCTTGTTCTTTGACCTGCCTCATTGAGGATGGTACAACAAAAACTGTGAGGAAGGGAATGGAAAAATCCCACTGAAGAGATGTAGAAGCCAGGTGGCTGAGATGCTCTATGTGTGCATCTGTCCCCCAGGCCATAAAACTTGCCCCAAATTAGATACTGAACCCATTGGTGAAGCCTGGATGTGGTGGTGCTGAGCTGATGCTTGATTTACATGGCAAAAGAAGTTGTTGTGGTAGTGAGGAGAGGGAGGAGCTGATGGAGAGTGATGCTCCTGGTGACACAGGAGCTAATAACACATAAAATAATTACAAGGAGAGCAAACACAGCTCTGCATGGCTGGAATTCCAGCTTTGCCCCTCTCTTTCCTGGTGCATCCCACTGCTCTGTGGAGCACGGGGGCTCCTGGCAATGAACCTGTGAGTTACGTTGTACGAGTCCTGGTTATTTACGACAGCCGCCCCTGGAAGCTAAGGCAAAGCTCCCACGCCTGGCAGTGATTTTGGTATTTAGGAAGTCGTTTAAGTGTATGGTAGCCAGGTGGAATCAAAGCTGCCACAAATCATTCCCAGCCGCCGGGAGCAGCAACCTGCACCAACACCTCCGGAGAAGGTGTCCTGCCTCCGGTGGGAATGGGGGTGAGAGCTGGTGGCTCTGGGTGAAACCAGATTCCTTCTGATCCGACTCTAAATTTGGTGTGGTTTGAGAATCTCCCCTCGTTTTATCTATTTTTTTTTTTCCAACTAAAGTTGAAGCTGGTGGGAATTTTGGAAGAAGAAGGTTTGGGGCAGTGCGAAATGCAGCCTATTCCCTATTTCCATAGAGGAGTCCGGTGTAAATGCCTCACGTTCTTTGCAGCAGTCTATATGAGGGGACCAAAAGCCATCTTTAAAGAGGTACAGGTTTGTTTGTAACCTTTAAATTAATCCTTTAAGGATATTTGGTGAAGGAACCAAGTAAGGAAAAAGTGGGTTTGAATAGGTTCAAGGCCAGGCTGGACGTGGTTTGGAGCAGCCTGCTGTAGTGGAAGGTGTCCCTGCCCATGGCAGGGGGTTGGAGCTGGATGAGCTTTAAGGTCCCTTCAGCCCAAACCAGGCTGGGATTCTATGATTCTAAGTATTTGCCCCATTCATGGGTGTCAAGAGTTTCCAGGTCCTCCTTGTGGATTCAAAAGCTGTGGAGAAGCTGTAAGACCCAGTGGTGACACCTTGGCAGACCATGTAGCCAGGGCACACTGGTGAACCCCTTACCTAGCAGACCTCAGGGCATCGTTGTGTTCATGTTTTAGATGGGTTTGCCTGCTTTTTCCTGGCAACGATGTGATTTCAGTATTGCTTGTGCCACCACAATGCTTGCTAATTGTCCCATAGGCTAGCAAATCTGTGGCTGTAAATGGTTTTCTGAGCCCTGGCTCCCATTGGATTCTCAGTTTCTCAGCTGGGAGAAGTAAAAAGCTCTGTGTGGCTTCCTATATGCCTTTTCCATAAATCCAAATGCATTTAAGGTTTTATCCTTGCCAAAGGATGCAATGTGTGCCCAAGCCCCCTGGACCTGCCCACATGGACAGTGTAGATGCTTTGAAGCATCGAGGATGCTTTTCATGCAAGGTGAAGCCTTCTGAAGCCAAAAGAACTGCAAACAAGGGAGCAGGGCTCCCAGAGTTCATTCCAACAGTTAGTTTTTTTTAAAATAACTCCTTATATTTACCTTTCTTACGTTAAACCACAGCAGAAAACACTTGTAACCCAATGTAAGACACTTACCCTGTTCAGCTGCAGTCATGCAGCTCGGGCATACAAACGAGCTCCAGGTTTTATGTGCAGTTCATTCTTCATGTTGCCTTTCTTGGCTTGTTTATGTTAGCGGAGCCTCCATCAAAATGATGTCTTAATTAAATCTGAAAAATGGACATTTGACTTTATTTTAAGTGATGATTTCATTCTGCCATGGGTAT